CATCATTAATATTCCGTCTTTGCGTATTGCAGAGTTATCTTCTCTTGGGAGCAGGTATTGATTGTTACGTCACTTGTTTGTGAGAGTAATGTCATCAATTTTTGAGAAAACGACGTAATTTTCTCACACAAACCAATGACGTAACAATCAATACCTGCTCCCAAGTGAAGATAACTCTGCAATACGCAAAGACGGAATAGCAATGATACAATAAATAGCTGTATATGAATCCTGGATAAACAGAATTAATCTGTGTGAATATCAAACCTGTGTTGTGAGTAGGAAGAGTGTGTAGCTAGTGTCGGTTTGGAATTTATGTATTCTCTGATCTCGCTCACTGATGTGGATGACTGTGCCGTCGAGTCGCATCACCTTGTGACCCTGCCATCAAAACAATTGAGCAATGACAACATGTGCATGAACAAGTTTTGGTACTTTTTTTGAAAACCATTTTAACACTTTAATATTACTTTGTGTTAAATAAAATATATTTCAATTTGATATTTTTTTTTACACATTATCATTCTTCATTTCCTGAATTTTTACCCACTTGCATAGTACTGTAATGGAAATTCTCTCTATCCAAAATATTATGCTTCTCCCCTATTGAAATTTGAGAACAGGCCACTGTAAGCCTACATGTATTCCTAGGAGTAAAAAACATTATAAAAACAATAGATTTTCCAACAACTAGAAATTATGTTTATAAAATATATTTTTCTTTATTATGCTGCTGATTTTTCCCCCCCTTTCATAAAAAATTGGAAAACCCTAATAAGGATTGTGTCTGATCTCAGTTTTTCCATATGCAAATCTAAACCCTTTCGATTATCTGTATCTCCCATATCACAACACAAATAGATAGAAAGTGTACATTACCAAAAAAAGGTTGAAATTGTGACTAAAATAATCTTCCCCTACCTTGAGGGTGTGACAGAGAAATCTCCTACCTCAGGGGTGATGTTTTTTGGTTAGACAACCAAATAATCACCCTGAAGGTTGGAGATTTCTCTGTTACACCCTAAAGGTAGGAGAAGATTATTTTTCTCCCATCCTATTATTTCGGTCACAGCTCCACCGACAGTAGTCTGCCATGTTTGTAAACAAAAACATGTGGGGTATGCATATCGTCATTCACTTTTGATGACATCATAATTGCCGGTGACACATTTTAATGACCTCACAATTGAACATGTGCTATACGGCACGAGGCTATCCCCCTCCCCCCCAGGGGGTGACAACTTGATCTTTCACAGCTTAAACGGGAGTCACACCTGTGAAGGGTGGGAGAATTAAAAATGAATGTTTGGGACAGAAGCAGAAAATAATCAACTTCTGTTTTAGTTACTTCATGAATGGAGTGCCTTCAAGTGAGATAAAATTGTAAGGGTCAGAGGTAAAAACTAGGGTCAGTCGGGGTACCTGAAACGTACATATTTTTTAAGTCTAACCATGACCTTTGATATCTCTGATCCTAAATTTTTATACAATGTTTAAGTGGTTAGTTTTACAATGTCTGACATCAGCCAAAGACTAGTTTTAGAAGCTGACTATTCATTATTTTTGAACATGAAACCAAGAATCTTAACCAAATTCAGAACTATACATTCATAGAATCTGGCAAAACTTATTCATTCACTCATGAAAAAATGGAAAACCATGTTACCATGATGGTTGGCAGCCATCTTTTGATATTGACAAACATAGAAATCTTATTCCCGTGTAAACTGACTAGCTATCATAAATAAACCTCTATAAAGTGCTATCCATTATTTTGCAAAAACTACCAGAGTAAATAACTTAAGTTTTTTTATTGATTCTGTAAGACGTCAGATTGGACAGGTATAACTGTATCATACTTATGGTATAATTTATTCCTATACTATGGTATTAATTGAGTTGATGTTAATAACATAAGGTACAGGATGATTTTGGCTGTAACCTCTAACCCTACCCTGTTTGTAGTGACTTTCTCTATGATGTCCAGTATCTTTCGAGACTGGGAGAAGATCAGTGTGCGATGACCCTCCGCCTTTAACTGAGTAAGCAGCTGGACGATGAAGATCAGTTTGCCCGACTCGTTGATGAGCGTATTGTCGTCCATGTTGTGGATCTCTGTAGCCGCACTGCTCAATCCTTCCTCCGACTCCAGCAGAGAGTTGTCCATCCTGGATGTCGATAAATAAGTGTTCAAACTTAACGGTAGACCAAAAAACTTTCATAATGATAAACACTGTAGGACTGTCGGAATCATTTATTTCATAGATCAAGCAGCTTTAAAGTTATTTCCTATGATGTGTATGATTCAATGTTAAGTGTACCGTAGTAGCAAGGGTTAAAAAGGTTCTGTATATTACTTGTGTTCCTTTATTACATCAACATATGATTACTTAATTTCACATTATTAGGAGCCTAACATGCACTGCAAGTGACATTTTCTTGGTCTAGGTCTGGGTTATGAAAAATTCTTCATGTCTATATAAAGCATATACTATAACATATTATGTAATTGGGAGAGGGTCTAGTAAGTTGTTAAGAACTTGTGCCCAATCTCTTTGACTATTCAGTGTCAATAAAATATGTCTGAATGAATCAAAATAACACGTATGAACCTATTCATTATTGTCTGAAGTTTAAAAATTCTGAATTCTATGACTGGATAAACATCTTTGTAACTGATATTCCCCAGTGTATATCTGTCTGGGTGACACTTCTATTGGACAGTCCTTAAAGACTAAGTATAATGGTAGCTGGAATAGTTCCCGTATTTATTCAAACATTAGGATGAAATACTGTGAAATCAGATATTTTTGTGGGGCCCAAATTTTGTGGTTTCATGACAAAACCCCATTTTGTGGGTGAACGAATTCACAGATTTTGAGAACCCACTCAAACGAGGAATTGCTTTATATCAAACTTGTGATTACTTAGACGACCTATGAGTTTGTGGAAGAAGAAAGTCCATGAAATCGTAGAAATATAAAAACCCACGAAAATTACTGATTTCACAGTATATAAGTCCGAACTATTCTGATGTTTTATCGACTTTTTTTTTTATATCGGTCTGTCGTCGATTAATGTCAGAAATGGGCCCTCTATAATATGCGGGAAATAAGCGACCCGCGCCCGGGTCGCACTTCAAACTGATATTTTAGAAACAAATCGTCACTTTCACACACACTTTGTTGCAAAGTCGATAAAACGTCAGAATAATTCAGACTAACAGTATATATACGTTATTCATTTAAGAAAATATCAAATTTTCCATAAATTAAAGTTTTGCAAGTAGTAGCATTCAGTCATAACTGGGATCTTTACAGGTTAGGAAGACATCAATGAACAATTGTTAAATTTTCCTCTATGTATCAAGAAACAGTCCACACCCTAAATCCCTGTTCCCACTGAATTTTAGATTTGGGGGTATATTTGCCACATTTTAAAGATTCTGTTCCCCTAGGTACTTAGTTACATAGGGCAATTGTTGAAACAGGGGGTACAACCAACTGTTTTTTGGGGTGAAAACCCTCATTTGGGGGGTTTCGGGAACACTGCTTAATCAATTTAGGTTTGTTTATATTTTAATTGAATATTTTGAGATTTGATACACTTACGCATCTTCCCCATCGAGCCCCAGCTGAGCACACGCTCTTTTGGACAACAGGCGAGGGTGGTCAGAAATCTTCTTCAGCACCGTCAGAGCCACCAGAGGCGACTTCTTGGTCATCAGCAGCTGAAAATAGTGAACAAAAGCTATCCTATTTCATATGTAGATTAGCATGATGGAAATCTGGAATCAAAGTTACATATCTCAAAACAGACATCCTTAAGAATCTGAAAAAAAAATCATGATTTTTGCCTTTCCATGAACAATACATGCCAAAAAAGAGAATTTTTGATCATATAATTATGAAATACAAAATAAACATACCAAAATATTAGAGATAACATTAATATAGAAATGAAATAATATTTATTGACTTAAAAGTTGAATTAGACCGAAACCTTTCCCCCCTAATGCATAGGCGGTTGAGAGGGTCAAGTGAATAGTACCTGATTAACTGAATATTGAAAATCCAGCTTCAAATCAGCAATGACCTCTGTACTTGATGTTAAATGCTCATACAGCTGTGTAGAACACTGGTTATCCCCCCTGATTACATGCACCCACTTCGTCTGCTCAGACAGTGATGCACTGATGACAGATAGAAAGACTCATGGACAGATTGCAAACCTTTGGTCCCACGGTAGTACCAGTCAGGGACTAACTTATAACATAGTACAGACTTCCCAAGTGTTACAATGGGGCTTCAGAACACTATGGCAAGGAGAAACCCCTTGATAGTCGGGGCAAAATTAGTTACCTCATATCAGTGATTTTTTTGCCCATTTTACAACCATAGGTTGATTCCACTAGCAAAATTTTCTTTATTTTACCAAAACGAGGAAAATTCCCTCTGAACCGACAGGATTGATGATTGCAGTACATCATTGTTTTATTTACTTGTGTGCCATGTATGAAAAATAATGCACAAATTATAAAAATTACACAGAAAGTAAGGGTCTAAGTGTCAACTGGTTCATGTATAAATACAGTGTCTCTCTATATGTTTAGCTTAACTCATTCAACCCCTGAAGACACATTTGAACTCATCCAATTCAAAGGTTGGAATAGTCCATTATGAAATTTCAGGGGTGAATGAGCTAAATTTTAACTATTAAAGCCTGAATGTCCAATTATTCCGTAATTTCGTTCGGTGGTGAACAAAGCGTGGCCCACCTCTTTGACAGAGTCCAGTGAGATGAAGTCCTGGTATATCTGTTGCTGGGTCTTGGTAAGGAACAGCCAGACAATCAAGTCATTCTTTCTGGTCATGGTTGGCATCCTGAACAAAAAATACAGTTTGCAAGGTTTTTTAAAATTATTTTCACCAATGAATAAAGGGATAGTTTCATTAATGGAAAATGCAAACTTCACTGTGATGCTGACAGGTGATTGATTTGACAGATCACTACCAATTTCCTGTCTTATAGGAGATTTGATAAACAGAAAATGCAATGGTTCCTATATTTTTGACTTTTCTGGTATTTTTACTCGTAAAATATCTTAAAATCTCTCACAATTGTGAAATACACATGATCCAACTGAGAAAAAACATAGAATGTCCTTTATTTATATATTACTTCTGTCTACCGGGAAACTTAGCCCAGTCAAGTTTTCACCCTTAAGTGATAGAATCCATTTTCATGCAGTGTCATTTTCACCTTTCATATTTTATTGCTAATTTTTTTTTTATGTTCTAGTTTTCTTGAATTAAAACGCCCTCATTACAGAATGTCATAAAGGCGATAATTAAAATGCGGTGAATATTTCCCTGTATACAGTAATTTATTAAAACCTGTTTTACCTGAACATTTATGGAACAACTTTATGCCATTAATTTTGTAAAAAAAATATCTTTTTCCCCCTGAAAGTTGAATTTAGTTTGAAATAATATGCTAAGAAACGTTTTGGTAACACACAGGGGGCTGCAGTGGCCAAGTGGTTTAGGCGTCGGCCATTCTGCTACCACTAGCCCTCCACCACTGGGTCGCAGCTTTGAGACCTAATTGGTGCCGTTGCCAGATACTGTCTGCCGTTCTTTGGTTTATCTCCGGGAACTCGGGCTTTCCTTCACCATCAAAACATGACACATCCTTAAATGACCAAAGCTGTTAATAGGAGGTAAAACACAAAGAAACCAAAGGTAACACACAAATTTGAGCGATGAACACATTTTAACTATGGTATGACTTGATAATCGTACTTGATTTGTTTCTGCCCCTGGCCACCTTCCTCCCCAGAGGTTGGACTATCACCAAGGGTCTTTTCCTTTTTAGCCACCTCAGCCTTTGTTCGCCTGAGAAAGTAGGGTGCAATTATCTCCTTCAAGCTGTCGGCCATCATAATCCCCAGTCGTCTCTCTCCTGATGTTGCATCTCGCTCCCTTGCCTGCACAAATATTTTATTATTTATGTATATGTACAGACAACTGAAACATAGTTTTATCTACAGATGGCTGTCATTGTGGAGACTTTTTTTCCATGCCACCATTACAATATTAGATCAAGTAATGAAACAATTTTTCTTGGTCACAATTCTATGAAAAAATAAAGATATTTTCTTTTAACATCGAACCAGTAAAATCGGTAGTACAATTTTCCCCAAACTCACTTAAGACATTTACAAAAAGCATGATCTTACTTTAAATTTTCAATAATAATTTGGCCATAATTCCTGACTACCATGTAACCTACCCTTGTGATAGGCGTATCATACTCCATTTTGAATGTCCTCGCCGTCCCCAACAATGTCCCCTTGTGGACAAAATCAAACAGGGCCCATAACTCCTAAATGGCAAAATAAAAGCAGATGACTATTATGTTTTATAATTAAGTGGAAGAAATTACAATGTAAAGTAGCAAAGTTATAAGTTAAATTTAGTTTACAGATTTCTTTATGCAATCACTTTCTATGGATTTACATTAAAGACAATGGACACATTAAAGACGAAGTTTTCTAGATAAAGGTAGCAATTGTTTTTAATTTTTTTTTTGGAACAGGGTCTTTAAATTTTGCAAAATGAGAGGCATTTTTTTTTTATTGTTTTGAGAAAGGTCACATCCTAGTAATACAGTCAAACTTGGATGCTACGAAGTTTGCAGGACCATCAAGTGAGAATAGAAATATCAGGACTCGGACTTACGAATATTGTACATCAAACATCATTAAGATCATTCACATAAGACCGAATGTGATTCTTAAATGACGCAAAACAGGCAAATAAATTAAACTGAATATCTATAAAAACACTGAATTTACAGTAGTAAAAACAGATTTTTTTTGTACACTGAAGTTGGTGTGATGATCTTACCAAATTCAACATTGTATTGTTTGTCAATTAAAATTCCAAAGCCAGTGCCTTTGTTAATGTATAGTTAATTTTTTCACTTCAATTCAGTAGTTGTAATTTTCAAAGTTTTCATAATGAACAGACCTTGATTATACTTCAAAACAGCCAGAAATTTGACTAATATAAGTTTGATTCATCAATAATATCCAAGTTTTGTAAATTATTGTATATTTTATAACTACTTGACCAAATGTTAGACGAGTCGTTGACTCAACTTTGTCATCAAGTAAATAAAGACTAGTATTACTATTATTATTATTATTACCACGGTAGTGTTATTTAAGGGGGAAATCTGGACTTTATCGTGAGTTTGACACATTGAGAAATTCAAATCTCTGAAGTTCGATTTATGGAAGTTTGACTGTATATTACATAGAATTACAGTACATTGTGTACTTACCTGTTATAAAATGCAATACTAAATGTCTTAATTGATAATCACTGAATTTCATTTTCACAAATGAACAAATCAAATAGCATCTCTGTTTTGAGCGTTCATAAATCTCTGTAGATTTTTCAATTTGAAATACATAATTATTTCATTGAAAAGTTAAAAAATTTCAGGTGAGTTAAGCAAACTAAAATGGTGACACATTCTGCCCCAAAAGAGAATATTCAAATCTAACTTCTGGATTTGTGAAACATGAAAAATCAGGAAGGCAATCTACTGCAGAGTTTGTGTAGTTTTGTATGATGAAAATTCATCCCACAGGTACAAGAAAACATAAAAATTAACCAAACAACATTTTCATTGACCCAGTGACGCCATATTGAAAGTTGTCTTGGATATCTACATTGTCTGGTACACTGTACAGTACTGTAAACTAGTAAATATTTATTTCCATGAATTTTCCCACATAAATTGTCCCTTTTTAACAGGAAAAGCTTCAGAATGCAGGATTTTTTTCCATTGTAATTACAAACATTTTACAGAAAAGAATTTGGATTCAGGATTTTCTCAGTTTACTATATAAAGAAGTTGTGACCTTCAGATTGTTCTGTACGGGAGTTCCTGTGAGGATGATCCGGTTCTTGGCTCCGATGGCATGTACTCCCTTAGTGGTTTTGGTAGGATTCTTTATCTTATGACCTTCGTCCAATATCATGTAATCCTTTAAATGAAAGAGAGAGAAAAAAAAATAGGTTTTAATATAGAAATTTTGCATAACTGTTCAAGGACTTTTCAACTTTTCATGGTAACATTTAAAAAATATTTGCAGATGTTGACTCTATAACTAAAATACCTTAAAATGCTCATTATGTGAGTTCAATTATTCGAAATGCAGTTGTGTCCCCAATCAATTTAATACCACGTATCTGTTTATCTATTTCTGTGTCTACCGTTGGGTTCAGAAAATTGCTTCTACTTCATTTTCTCTTAGCTTTACATAGTTAACTATTTCAAATCTAGAGCCTATCATAAAAAAAATCCTGCTTTTTCAAATGATAATTTTATTTTGAACCTTGTACATGTTTAGTCATTGGATCAAGACAATGATTTTACGTCCGTTTGAAACTTCCCACATTTCCATTGATTATCACTAGGTCTGTTCATGGATCACAATTAAATTTTGTTACGACACATTTTTCAGTAAATTAGTTAAGAGTAGAGAAATTTAAAAAGCACTTTAAAAATTAAATCTTCATCAATATTTTGGTTTCATGGATTAGAACATTAATGGATAGATGTTATTTCTAATACAAGGTATGATTTTTTATTTTTATGCAGGTGAGACATGATGCAAGAAAATAACATTTTTTTTTTAAATCTTCAAAAAATAAAATAAAAAACTGACCCATTCAAAGTCGCGTCCCTCTTTTTGACTGAGCTGCTCAGAGCTGGTGACAACAAGACCGTAGGATGTGAGACACACTCCTCCGCGCCGCTGGACCTTACACAGGGCTCGCTCCTTTTCCCGCTTACTGCTGCCGTGGAATAGCGTCACTCGTATACCAGGCGCCCTGTCATGTTAAGCCGCAAATTGTATTAGATAGAACCTTTAATTTCTAAAAGTTCAGTAATTTCTAGATTAATGAAACTAAGTGAAATTACTTCTGTAATTTGTGCAGAAAAAAGAGTTGAAGTTAAAAATTAAACAGAGAGACATATTTTTCCAAGTCCTTGTGACAGATAGGTTATGATGTGGTATTCATGTATTAAGCTACCATTTTGGGACATTCCATTCAGAAATGTAAACCTTGTCAAAAGTATATATGTAACATGGTAAAGTAAGCACTGAACTTGTTCCTCAAACAATATGACGTAACATAAATAGAATGCTTTATACATAAAAACTTTATTTTTTTTACAACAACTATGAAACAAGTTATTTCAACTTATATTAATCACTCTTGTTGGCCTGGATGTTAGCGCGCGGGGGTTGGGTCTTATTATGGGAGGAAACCGGAGTACCCGGAGAAAACCCACGTCATCCTGCAGGTGACCCCAATACCTTTTCACGTCCGATCGAGGAATCGAACCACGGCCGACTTGGTGAAAGGCAAGTGTGCTATCCACTGCACCACCCGACCACCATAGAATGCTTTATAATTTCCATAAATGACCTCATGTTGGTTAAAAAGGGGATGGTGCCATTAGCGATATTGAGCATGAGCGCCAAGTTGGGCTTATTACCTATAATGGGCTTATTACCGATCATGAGGTTATCACAGGTAACAATTAGTAGCATTATCCTTACCACTTATTGAACTCCTTCTCCCAGTTAGTAATGAGTGATACAGGCATCACAATGAGGACAGCGTGGACCTTGTTCATGTCAAACAGGCCGGACAGGAATGCAATCACCTGTATTGTCTTCCCTAGGCTGAAATAAGATATAACCATTTTATTTACTAGTGTTTTATTGGGACAGATAAATAGCAATTTCACTTTTGTAATCAACTCCTTCAGAAATAGTAAAAATGTCTAAGAATAAAGGATACAAAAACTAGAAATAATCTAGTTTTTCAGCATTGAGACCAAATCATAGTGTACTGCATAAACTTTAAAATTTATCATATTATATTTTGAAATAAATACTTTACAACTTCAATGTAATTCAATTAATTGTTTTGTTACTACTCTCATTGCAAATTGTAACACATCCATCTGTTGGTAGAGTCAAAATCTGATATAATACTCATTATTGTGTAATACAATTTGTATTTATTGTTCTTTGAATTGTGTTTCACTTCTAAATTATCAAACTGGGCTTCACATCTAACAGGAGTATCCACCTAATGTTACCATGTGATCTTACCCCATATCGTCGCCAAGGATACCGCCCTTGCGTTTCTTATGTAGCCCCCACATCCAGAGGACACCTGCCTTTTGGTGGTCGTACAGTTTGTTGTACAGGTCCCTGTAGAGGTAGAACCCATTACCAACCAGGACCATTCCATCGTCCTCCCCCTCAGACTCACCAGACTCCTCGCCATCATCATATTGCTCAAGGTATGCCTATCGTCACAAATAGATATCATACTCATCATATACTTAAATAATCCTATCTACTCAAAGCAGAAACACTGTCCAACTACATTTCGTAATCTTTTCTGTAATAACATATCCCTGTCACTCGTCAGAGAGAACTGAAATTTATTGATACTTATACACAATGAATAACAAGTAAATTTATCACAGAAATTATGAGAATTTTTTATCTTTTCCAAATCTTTCTTTCAAACTCCATTTTATAGGTATACGTACCTCCATCTTCTGGATGCGCCGCACCAGCTTGTCTTTGTGGTGTATCTTCAGTGCCCGCTTGTTCAGCTCCAGAGCCATCCTCACCTGTCCATCTGCCGCCAGCTGTGACGCCTTAGTGACCAGGCGGTTAAATTTTACCTGGTCATCATGTCCCAAGTCATCCTGACTTCCTGTACGAGGTTTCACATTTTCTGTTCAGATAAAAAAATTAGAAAGAATATTTGCAAAGCATGTCAATCAACAGATATGATCATTATGAACGAATAATCTAGTGTTTTACAACATTAAAATTATTTTTTCTTTCATTTTTACATTAAACTGTATTAACATATAATCATGTAGACAAATGCTGACCGAGAGATTCAAATAATTAGGATAATTTTTTGTTTAGTTGCGTTCAATTTTACTCTTACATACAACGTTTTGGTTAAGTTGATAAAGATGTTCTATTCAACTACCTTTAGATTCAGAATCCTCATCTTTGACAGGAGAAGACGGGCCATTTTTCAAATCAGGTTCGTCTTTGAGTTGGAGGTTATTAAGCTTGTTGTAGGTTTCCGTCAGAGCAGTCTCCATCCCTTACTGCTCAGCTTCACCTAAATACAAGGTATGATGATCTGAAAATGATTAACCCTTTCACCACTGCAGACCATAATGGACTCGTCCAGATCAATGCATGGTATAGCCTACTAAAGTTGCATAGGGGTGAAAGGTTAACTTTAGGTTGGGGTTCAGAGTTCAAGTTAGCCTTCATATAGTCAGTTTCATAATTAGTTTCTCCTTCAAGTTTTTTTGTAAGTTCAATAACACATGGCAAATCAACGTTGCTCTCCCATTATCTGTTAGTTGTCATGTTTCATTTTTGGACTGATCAGAAAATTAAGATGGCCACCAGGCAGCCAGCTTGCAGGGTATTTGCAGTTGCACACTGAATATGTTTTTAAGAACTCATAGTTTCCAACAATATAAAAAGTCAGATTTAGTGAGACACTTTCACATGATCTGAACCACTTCATTTCTTTTAATTATCTTCTGAGTTGGAACAGAAAAAATCAGACATGTGTTCTGTTTCCGTATTTATTGTCGTCTGATAGTAAAGCAGCTGAATTTGGAAGTCTGCGGTTACATGTTTAGGCAAAAAAATGATGTTTTGGTTTCTTTTTAGTATTATTTGAATTGAGTTATTCTGGATAATTTTGTCTTTTTGATTTAAGAGTAAAGACTTTAAAAACAGAATAGAAGTCAATATCTGGGCCCGTATTCATGAAACCGTTCTCATGCTCAAGCATGGATTTTGTGCTCAAACTTTCTTGTGACTCACTTAACCCTTTCACTTCTATGTAACTTCAGTTAACTCTACCATGTATTAATCTGGATGAATCCATTATGGTCTACAGTGGTGAAAGGGTTAAATCATGTCAAACAATCAAAAAGTCAAACATAATCATTGAAAACAGTATTTGGCTTTAACTCTCTTCGATTTCTTTTCCAAGTCAATGACAGAAATAAGATTTCATATCAATTAATAAACGGAACAAGAAATTATGCTTGAGCACAAAATCCCTGCTTGAGCATGAGAACGGTTTCATGAATATACGGGCCGTGGAATAGGTCAATTTGTTACGGACGAGGTTTCAGGTTTGAATCCCTGCTTGTCTCGGTAAAACGACTATCATTCATCAATAAATTTTATGATATCATATAGGCTATTGATTTAAGGATATATGATTTTATATAATAGATTTGTAGCAGAACTGGACTGGGTCGATCATCAGCGACCAGGCAGCTCAATTGATTAGAGCGCTCATCTAGAGTTTGGAGGGTCCAGAGTTTGAACCCTGACATATGGCCATGCATTTTTCCATCCCTGTTACAGATTAATATATCATAAATTGATTAAATGATAACACAAAATGTCCAGTAATCTAATAATACGGCAAACTAAGATTCATTTTTGGATATCATAAAATAGACTGATTTGAATATTTGATATCATTAAATATATTCATAAATCTTCAAATTCACATTATCATGAAATATAATTATTGATATAATTAATTCGATTCCATGATTGATTATTGATATTATATTGTGAATTAGATATCAAAAGAGGTAATTATATATAAATATAGTCTGGCCCACAGGGACTTGCGAATTGTTACAGTTATATTTGGACCTAAACTAAGGTGTTCAAAGTAATTTTACATGTTTTAGGGGTTTAGATAGACTTTCGGTAAAAATGACGACCCCAATGAAGAGAAGGGAGAAAAGCTCTCGTTGTCGAAGTGTTGACCCACCTAATTTTCTTGCACCTATTCTTGCACCTAAAACAACATTTCCTACAAAAACACACACAATTTCAGAGTTTCAAAGCTTTTCACAGTTAGCCTACCACTTTTTTGAATGTGGCTGATGTCAACCTCTTTAATATTAAAAATAGTGGCAGGCTGACTGCGAAAACTATGAAACTCTGAAATTGTGTGTTTTTGTAGGTAACAGAGTTCGTGTATGCAGAAGAATACATTTTACGTGCATATTGGAGGTTTTAAAAAGAAAAAAATATCCATCTTTCAAACAGTACTAAGTATTTCCCCTCCGCCCTGTAGATCAACTAGAAATGTTGTTTTGATGCAACAAAGTTAGGTGGGGTCGACATTTCGACATCGCAAGTTTTCCTCCCTTCTCCGTATATATGATCATATTTGGGGTGTCATTTTTACCGAAAATCAATCTAAACCCCCTAAACGTGTAAATTACTCAGAATACTTAGTATACTGTAGCTGTAACAAATTCTCAGGTCCCTGTGGTCTGGCCTATCATTATCCATCATACTTTAGCCTAATAGGCATTTTTTCATAGCTAGGCCTACATTAAAAGATATGCCAATATCAAAAGCGGAATAGTCATTGATAATCTGTACGGGTCTTACATGTCTCATCACTTCGGCAACGTCTTGGTGAATCACATTTTATCAAATACAGCTAGATCTATGTTGATTGAATGATTCTGTTATCTCTGTGATGCTGAAGCAGTATTTTATCATCTATATTTATTAACATTCTGTAATTCTGTTTTATCCATTCATGACAATGTTCCCATGTCACCTGAAAATAGATATACATACCTCTGTTTGTATACCAGAACAACAGATTACGACAAAATGTGGTTTCGATTTTTTATCTCCTTTGAAAATTCCGCCACTTTCCTCTGTGATGTCATGCGAGGTTCTATCATTCAAGAGCTTCGCATAAATAATCGTGTTTAAATCAAACATCTTTGTGATCCTATGTCATTTGAACTCTCCTTTTCGTGAAGGTAGGCTTAGTCAACGGTAAAAATAAAAAAAAAGGTGTTGATGCAAGAGAAGAGTGTTGAGCATGAAATCTAAGTAAACTTTCTGTGACATTTGCTACATTAACAACGAATGGTGATTTTACCAAATACTATCCCATGTCCAAGTCAATTTACCTCGTTTGGTTAAGATTTGAGATAACCGGGACCAAAGAGGGATTGGAATATATTCAGTATTTAGGTGAGTTCATAACCATGTAACGGCAAATTCCTGTATCGGATTATTGCGTATTTCCTTTAGATATAATGATGACAAAGCTGTTATTTTCATAAATAAATAAAGCAGACTTAATGCCTACAAATTATAATGCAATGTGATTACGCTGTTATGTATTAGACGGACTGTTTGATGCATCCCATGATGCAATGTACCGTTGAATTATTTCCTTATAAAAGAAGGAAATATTTACCAGGTTAACGTTAGGCACAAGGGTGAGGCACAACGGCGCATGTCGGTAATCACCATCATCATCTTCCTGGACAGGAGCTGATCTTAAGGGATGTACTGCTCCAGCGACATAGTGGCCATGTCTCGAACCGCCAGATAAAGTGTTTTTTTGTTATTTTTTTAAAACAATTTTAAAACTACTATCGTTGCCAGTAGTAATAATGAATAAAAACTGTTTAAAAACGAGGTTCTTTGTTCAGTCGTGATCTCAGTGGTGGTCTCAGTCGTGATCTCAGTGGTGATCTCAGTGGTGCCTCCCTGTGAGTTCCTCTAGTTGTAATAGGACTGGAAGCTCTATACTGTAGCTGCAGCCTTAGTCTCACTGGGGATGTTGTTCCAGGTAGTGATGGTACAGGAGAGGAAGGAGTTTTGGTAGGTGTCTGTCTTGACCTAGGCTGCTGCTAGTGGCTCCATGGGTCCTTGCATCTACCTGACGGATCTTTTGGCTGAACTCGACTTTCACAACATTATCGATGATTTTGTACAATAAAGTTGCCCTGGCCCTATAAATGACTTCTTCTGTAGAACTATACACTGGATATCAATCATATTTGATCAAAAGCATTCATGGGGGGCAGGGATTCAAAATTATACAAATGGTGTTGCTGACCCCCAGGAACCTGAGGGATTATTTGGCTATATTGCTTTAACCAGGTCTTCTCTGGAACAAAGATATGGATATCAACCATATTTGACTGGACCGTATAACCATATATACAATTGCTGAGTATAAAGAGAAGAGTGCTCATTTAAGAAGAGAAGGAAAGAAAGAGACGGAGAGATAGAAAGATAGCGAAGAAATGGCTTATATTTAGTGGAGAGTCGATGCAATGTCAGGTGGCAAGGAGTTCCAGTTAATGATTGTTCTTGGAAAGAGGGAATATTTATGTGCATGTGTTCTACATGAGAGAGTTTGTTATGTATTCTAGTGTGCATGTCCTGTCAGGTGGATTAGAGGGACATGGAGATCTTTTCTTATGTCAATTTTATTGTGTTAATTTGTATAGTGTAGTTAGCCACATGCATATCTTTCCTTCTATGTTGTCAGAATAAATCTTTGTGTCAAATGCAGGATTATTACCCATACACACCATTGGCCCAACCTGTTTAAGGGGGCAAGTGAATTCTAGGCGTTTTGATACATGGTAGTTTCAAATGGTAGTGTTGAGAAGTAAACATTTTTGGGTCACTCCCAAGGCATCTGACAGGCTACAGTCACTAGTCCTCCAGCACTGGGTCGAGGGTTTGAGGCCTAAGTGGGGCAGTCTCCAGGTACTGGTCATAGGTCGATAGTTTTTCTCGGGGTACTCCATCTTTCCTCCACCACCAAAACCTGGCACGTCCTTAAATGACCATATCTGTTGATAGGATGTAAAACACAAACAAACCAAACCAAACCAATCCTTGAAAGTAAATGTTCCTATCACATTTGGGAATATATAAAGGTATTTTTCATTCATATTAATTGTAGTTTATATATAAATGTTATTGTTTCCAGCTCCAGGTTATTCCCTGAATGAGGAGTCTGAACAAACGTGCAGGAAGACATATGCCGAGTCTTTATCTAGTTCTTCTTCCTCACAAGAGAGAGAGGACAACCCGCAGATAAAGGAAGACCTGATTAAAGAGTGCCAAGGGAACAGGAAGTTTGCTGATCTTACAATAGAGACGTATTATTATGGTAGGTGATTTAAATTAACATTTATTAATCAAGAACCTATAATTGTGAAGAGAAATGTGTATTTAAAATTCCTGTGCATTTTATTTTAAAATTCCTCTTATCTTTTTAAATGCCTTGCTTACCTAAAGAGATAACTTTCGATTTCCTTCCTTTTCTATTTATATTAAAAGTTCAAAAACCTCTCAATACAATACAACTGTTATCATTTGTCCAGCAAATGTTTGGGTAGGCAATATTACCTGTATATATCTTATGATTAGCTAATTGTCTGTATGTGTGATATGGAGATTAAGGCCAAAGTACGTTAACTTATTGTCTTCAAGCTCAGTTGTGCATTATTCGCAGAAACAGATAAATATGTTGTAACTGGAAGCAATTATTCAACACATTGTCATAGTTTGTTGTCAGATGCAGAAAGTAGAATGACAAGAATGAAAGTTTTGTTTCTGTATTTAACAGAAAATATGGAGGAAAACAAAGAGGAAAAGACCTATTTACATGCAAACAGAGGAAGGGAAGGATCAGACTCGCCTGATGTCCAGAAACAAATGGACAGAAAATCCAGTTCTAGGGAACCAGAACTGACGAGGTCCCGCGAGGGATCAGAGTCCTCCACAGCTTCAGTGAGTGGAGCTAACAAGATGGGACCAAAGGAGGCTTACTTCAGACCAATCCGGTCATACATGGACGAAGGACCAGGACCAGCACCCTCCCCACCAAGGTTATACGGGGAGGACGGTCCAGGTCCAGCCCCTTCTCCAACCGGTGGCTCTAATTCTCGGCCTGGCAGTGGCAGGAGGAGTCACAGCCCTTCTGCCCGTTACCCGGCAACCATCCATTTCTACTCCGGCAACCCTGCTGTGGAGTGCATCCAGGGGGTCTTGCATCTGTATAAGGACAAGTGAGTTATCCCCCTTTGTAATTGTCTCGTACATTGCTATTTTATGAAGTCAGCAACATTAATTCATTGCATGCATGTATGTACCAGTACTTACAAAGTTTTGAACCACAATATTGTAGATAAAGTTTTGAGATGCTTCATTATTACACAGTGATATCCTTTGTTACATCCTCATTCACCCCTGAAGCCACATTTGAACTCTTCCAATTCAAAGGTTGGAATAGTTCATTATGAAATTTCAGGGGTGAATGAGTTAAGGTAGAGAAAAGATCAAAAGGCTATTCCCTACCTTGAAGGTAAATCAAGATTAGACATAAAAAAAACAATTCCTGGAACAGAAAACAAAAATATTTGTCTAGACATATCAATAATTATATTTTAATATAGACTGACAGAAAAATATCAACTCTGAGGATAACATTTTAACTTCATCCTTGGGGGGAGATGTTCTTGCCTTCATCGCACAATTATTATGGAGATTTAATCTAACTCACATTTCTTCTGTGTTAAGGATCCCCGTACCACTGCCAAAACCGTTAAAGTATTTGGAAACTATTTTTTCCGGCATGACTATACATTTAATAAATCATTTCTGAAAGGCAGACCATACCTTGTGGGACTTTTATGAGAAATAATAGAGATAAAAATAAACAAAATGTAATCAGCATAAAAATAAAATCAGAGGGCTAGGCTGGGATTTGAACCCTGGACTTCAGATTGATACACTATCGCTCTAACTGATTGTGCTATCTGGTCAACAGGAGTGTCCTGGCCCAACTGTGTTACAGCTATATCAAATGGAAGTTAAGGGGAGGTTACTGCATACAGGAAAAGAACTAGTGCAGTGGGACAGGGATCCTTAAGTGTATTTTTAGAGTCTGATATTGAGAAAACAAGATTTGATTGCCGCTATTCTGCATGGACTTTATATATGTACTGTTGTTTGCAGTAAGCCGACACCTGTAAAGGGAGACCACCTCCGTAGTGAGCTAATCTGTATGCTGTCTGTTCCCGGGGGATACACAGTCCATGATCTCCTCAAGTTTACTGCTCCAGTCAGGTATAGTATAAATACAGTTGTCTAAACTATTAAAAAAATATCTTAAGACCCTAGTATTCTGATAGAAGTGATCAGTGCTTCCTTTTGTATAAAGATTCATGGAAGAACATGTTATTGAATTTTTGTATAGATTTGTTGTGTTATATAAACCTATTTTACAGGAATACTATATAACTAGAAATTTTTGCTGCAGTTTAATTTTTTGCTGTTTTTTTGTAATGAGGGTGACATTTATCAATACAGCGAACTTTTGTAAACAACATAATATAAATAGTAATTAAATGTGACAGGCAAATTAAATATTGGGTGAAAATGGATTTTACTGTCGAAGGGCAAAAATTTGACTGGACTAAAATTTCCCGGTGTACAGTATATTTTGTTATCACGTGAGCGGCCGAGCGGACGGGCATGCGAACGATGTCCGCTCGATATCTCAAGTAATTATTAACGGATTAACTTCAAACTTCACAACAAGGTTAATTACCATGAAACCCCAGACAAGTTCGATAACCGCCGTTATCCGACCATAATTTGTGGAGTTATGCCCCTTTATGGACTTGCCGAAACAGTGTCCGCTCGATATCTCGAGAAATTATTAACAGATTAACTTCAAACTTCACAACAAGGTTAATTACCATGAACCCTCAGACAAGTTCGATAACCGCCGTTATCCGACCATAATTTGTGGAGTTATGCCCCTTTATGGACTTGCCGAAACAGTGTCCGCTCGATATCTCGAGAAATTATTAACAGATTAACTTCAAACTTCACAACAAGGATAATTACCATGAAAGCTCGGACAAGTTCAATCATACAAACAACTGCTCATTCAATGTGTGACGGGCGTATTATATACCGCTCGCGGTAACCTTGTTTTTAATTGAATTCATGATATCAATGCAAAGTTTTGATAGTGTATGTATTCATTGTATTCATTGCCTGTGTTGATAGTGATATAATGAAACATTTAAATATTTTGTTCCATTTTAAGATTGCTAGACAGCTTCATGAAATCTTTTGTGAAAAATGCATTCTGAACTAAGGTTCAGTTTCTGTAACAAGGATTGTGATTGTCATAGGCACACTTTATATGTAACAAAGAACATGATTGGCTCATAAGCTCACCTGTTATGTAACAAAGAACATGATTGGCTCATAGGCAAACTTGATATGTAACAAAAAACATGATTGGCTCATAGACACACTTTAATGTAACAGAAAACATGATTTTCTCACATTCAAGCGGGTATAAATATTACTAAGTACAATTTACTTCCATGCTAAATGTAAAAGACCTTTGCTATGCCACAACCGATCATGTAAGGTGGAGGTTTTCTATATATTTTGTAATGTGTAGATAAAGGAATTCTAGCAATGACAGTAATTAGAATCTATTAATTCATTTCCAGTGAAGGTATTGAATACTTCAGGATTATAAGAGACCCTAGCCCAAACCAATTCATGGTGCTCGTCAAATTCAGAAGTCAGGTTGGTAATGTTTACAACATCTAAGTCTTTATACCTTCTGCCTTAAAATGACCTGGTATACACACCTTGTACTAATTGAAAAAAAATGTACAAAGATTCTAAGTTATAATCATTAGGTTCCCTAACTTGATTTACAATTCTTAAACTTACACTTTAATGGAGATTCTACAGGGCTAAGCATTACTTCCTAGGCCCTTTTGGGTTTGAAGAATGGACCCTTTCACTTCAAATTTTATGCAAACTTACCGATTCCTTTTGTTAGAATTTCCTATTAAATCTTTTTGTGTAGTATATTGATTTATCACAAAATGTACTGTGTTATCCAGTGAATATACCCATGTCATATTTTTTTGCGTATTAACCCATGTAATATGACCTATCAGTGCTGTGATTGGTTGTAAGTTTCAATTGTTTCAATTGTGACGTCACGCCTAGGACAAGTACATCACGTCACAAACTTACGCACTGGAGTCAAAATGGCTGCTTTTTCCATTTCAAGGTTGCATGAAAATTGCTGTTTTACGCAAATAAATTCCACAAATTTTGAGTATGTGATAAAAAGGATCTTACATTCGTTTTCATTTCAGATGAAATTTATGAAACTTGTCACAAATTTTTCATTTTAGCTTGCCAGGGGCTCGCTAAATTGAAAAATTCTTAGACTCGTTTCATAAATCTCATATGAAATGGAAACTTATGTAAGATCCTATATAACTGAGGTCTATGTGTTTACAGGACCAGGCGGACGAGTTCTTCACCACCTACAATAACTCTCCCTACAACTCTATAGAGCCAGACATCTGCCATCTCATCTACGTTGCCAGGGTCGAAACGGTGAAGGAATCGGAGGTAAGGCCAGACCAAAATATATTTGTTTCTAAGCAAAGTTTACAAAGGAAAGGTTGCCTGTGCCAAAAGACCTACTTATTATCAAGTTAAGAAATAGCCACTTCTGAAATTGAATTTTATTTTAAAAAATTGTTGAAATTTTAAACATATGTATAAAACATTGATGTTCAGGAAAAATGCAACTTTATTCCTTCATTATGATAAAACTGTTCTAAGCCCGGTTGCTCTTTCATTTTAAGTTCTTATCCATTGTTTTTGTTGGATTTGTAAAAATTTGAAATGTTGTTTATGACAGGGTGCGTGCTTGCCCACCCCAGGCGTCACTGAACTCCCCTGCTGTCCTGTCTGTCTGGAGAGAATGGTAATATCAATTTAAAGGAAATTTGTAATACTTTTTGTGGTCACTTAAGGGCAAAATAGCATACCTAATAATTGTACGATTGGTCATCCGATACATCAGAATATCTCACTTGGTAGTGACACTATAATGAAAAAAAATACAACGGGTAAGGATCCAGGTGTCAAATTTTTAAAAATATTTTTTCTACCAGCTAAAGCCAAAGATAGGTATTTTTATTTTAAAGAAAAATGTATGTTAATTATAAAGAGTTGTTTTACGCAAATGTTTTTGAAAAATTACATGTCTATTAACTTTTTATTATATGAAAGGTGATACTTTGAAAGTAATGAAAGGTCAAGAAAATTTGTGCCGTTTCATATGATTGATTAATCTGAGAAATACCTTTTAGTTAATGACCAGAAACTTGGTACCTACTTAATTCTAAATCAAGTGACATGACCTACATCATACCATGTTTTTGCTGGACCAGTCATGTTCGATTTGAGCAGGTTTTACTGTATACCTGATAATATTAACTCATTCACCCCTGAAGACATATATGAACTCTTCCAATTCAAAGGTTGGACTAGTTCATTTTGAAATTTCAGGGATGAATGAGTTGAGGACTATGATTATTGTTTTTTAGGACGAGTCTGTGGATGGGGTTCTGACCATTCTGTGCAACCATGCCTTCCACACAAAATGTCTGGAGCAGTGGGGAGATACCAGGTACCAATCGTACAATACAATGTGTAGATCTAAATAATCAAAATTTATATACAAGTACAAAGTTATGTACTGTGGAGTCAAAGATGTGGATAAACAAAAGTCATTGGCCAAAAATACAGTTCCATTAGCCCAACATTTTCTTATACCATGAAATATTTTTTTTTCATTTTTTTTTTCATCCACAAGTTCATAGGGCCATGAAAAATAATTGCAAGTTTGACATAAAACCATTCTCCGCATTCTCTCATAATCCACAAATTCATATACCCGCGAAATGGTGTTTTTGGGGGGGAAACCATGAAATTTGGACCCACGGAAATATCTGATTTCACAATAAAGAGAGTGACTTTTATATTTATAAATGTTGAATTCTGTACAATTATTGGGTATTGTTTAGTTAATCTTGGTTTGTTGTGAACCCAAGAAATTGGATATTCACAAAGGCCAATGGCTGAGGGGAATATCACTTTACTGGTTTAAGAAATAATTTCAAACCGTGAAAACCTAAAGAAAAATTGAGAGTTGTTTTAGCTATTAGTTTTCAGTAATTTGTGCATCTTTGTCAATAAGATTTGTTAAGAGGCAAACGTCTGTTACACAACCAGACCTTGAAGTTGTTTTATCCCGAAAATTAGACGTCCATGTGGTGTCGTCTGCCATTGTTTACTGCCTGACATACAACACTTCTGATTTCTGATTTGTCTAGGTAACTGAATTGTATCTTTGACTTCTCACTTAGGTGTTTGAGTTACAGGTCAAGATTTTGTAAAACCTTGGTTGCGGCCAAGTGTGTAGGCACAGTAATAGTATATTTGTTTTCCCCAGTTGTCCTCTGTGTAGGTACAGTAATAGTGTATTTGTTGTTTTCCCCAGTTGTCCTCTGTGTAGGTACAGTAATAGTGCATTTGTTGTTTTCCCCAGTTGTCCTGTGTGAAGGTACAGTAGTAGTATATTTGTTTTTCCCCAGTTGTCCTCTGCGTAGGTACAGTAATAGTATATTTGTTGTTTTCCCCAGTTGTCCTGTGTGAAGGTACAGTAATAGTGTATTTGTTGTTTTCCCCAGTTGTCCTGTGTGTAGGTACAGTAATGGTATATTTTTTCCCCCAAGTTGTCCTGTGTGAAGGTACAGTAATAGTATATTTGTTTTGTCCCCTATGCAGTTGTCCTGTGTGAAGGTACAGTAATAGTATATTTATTTTTTCCCCTGTTGTCCTGTGTGAAGGTACAGTAGTAGTATATTTGTTTTTCCCCAGTTGTCCTCTGCGTAGGTACAGTAATAGTATATTTGTTTTTCCCCAGTTATCCTGTGTGTAGGTACAGTAACAGTATATTTGTTTTTTCCCCCAGTTGTCCTGTGTGTAATTACAGTAATTGTATATTTGTTTTCCCCCTAGTTGTCCTGTGTGTAAGTACAGTAACAGTATATTTGTTTTTTCCCCAGTTGTCCTGTGTGAAGGGACAGTAATAGTATATTTGTTTTTCCCCAGTTGTCCTGTGTGAAGGTACAGTAATAGTATATTTGTTGTTTTCCTCAGTTGTCCTCTGTGTAGGTACAGTAATAGTATATTTGTTTTTTCCCCAGTTGTCCTGTGTGAAGGTACAGTAATAGTATATTTGTTTTTCCCCAGTTGTCCTGTGTGAAGGAACAGTAATAGTTTATGTGTTTTGTCCCCCCTGCAGTTGTCCTGTGTGTAGGAACAGTAATGGTATATTTTTTTCCCCCCAGTTGTCCTGTGTGAAGGTACAGTAGTAGTATATTTGTTTTTCCCCAGTTGTCCTGTGTGTAGGTACAGTAATAGTATATTTGTTGTTTTCCCCAGTTTTCCACTGTGTAGGTACAGTAACAGTATATATGTTTTTTTCCCCAGTTGTCTGGTGTGTAGGTACAGTAACAGTATATATGTTTTTCCCCAGTTGTCTGGTTTTGAGGTACAGTAATAGTATACATGTTTTTTCCCCAGTTGTCTGGTGTGTAGGTACAGTAACAGTATATATGTTTTTTCCCCAGTTGTCCTGTGTGTAGGTACAGTAACAGTATATATGTTTTTTCCCCAGTTGTCCTGTGTGAAGGTACAGTAATAGTATACATGTTTTTTCCCCAGTTGTCTGGTGTGTAGGTACAGTAACAGTATATATGTTTTTTCCCCAGTTGTCCTGTGTGTAGGTACAGTAACAGTATATATGTTTTTTCCCCAGTTGTCCTGTGTGTAGGTACAGTAACAGTATATATGTTTTTTCCCCAGTTGTCCGGTGTGTAGGTACAGTAACAGTATATATGTTTTTTCCCCAGTTGTCCTGTGTGTAGGTACAGTAACAGTATATATGTTTTTTCCCCAGTTGTCCGGTGTGTAGGTACAGTAACAGTATATATGTTTTTTCCCCAGTTGTCCGGTGTGTAGGTACAGTAACAGTATATATGTTTTTTCCCCAGTTGTCCGGTGTGTAGGTACAGTAACAGTATATATGTTTTTTCCCCAGTTGTCCGGTGTGTAGGTACAGTAACAGTATATATGTTTTTTCCCCAGTTGTCCTGTGTGTAGGTACAGTAACAGTATATATGTTTTTTCCCCAGTTGTCCGGTGTGTAGGTACAGTAACAGTATATATGTTTTTTCCCCAGTTGTCCGGTGTGTAGGTACAGTAACAGTATATATGTTTTTTCCCCAGTTGTCCGGTGTGTAGGTACAGTAACAGTATATATGTTTTTTCCCCAGTTGTCCGGTGTGTAGGTACAGTAACAGTATATATGTTTTTTCCCCAGTTGTCCGGTGTGTAGGTACAGTAACAGTATATATGTTTTTTCCCCAGTTGTCCTGTGTGTAGGTACAGTAACAGTATATATGTTTTTTCCCCAGTTGTCCGGTGTGTAGGTACAGTAACAGTATATATGTTTTTTCCCCAGTTGTCCGGTGTGTAGGTACAGTAACAGTATATATGTTTTTTCCCCAGTTGTCCGGTGTGTAGGTACAGTAACAGTATATATGTTTTTTCCCCAGTTGTCCGGTGTGTAGGTACAGTAACAGTATATATGTTTTTCCCCCAGTTGTCCGGTGTGTAGGTACAGTAACAGTATATATGTTTTTTCCCCAGTTGTCCGGTGTGTAGGTACAGTAACAGTATATATGTTTTTTCCCCAGTTGTCCGGTGTGTAGGTACAGTAATAGTATATATGTGTTTTCCCCAGTTGTCCTGTGTGTAGGTACAGTAACAGTATATATGTTGTTTTCCCCAGTTGTCCTGTGTGAAGGTACAGTAATAGTTTGTGTTTTGTCCCTCCTGCAGTTGTCCTGTGTGAAGGTACAGTAATAGTTTATTTGTTTTCCCCCCAGTTGTCTGGTGTGAAGGTACAGTAACAGTATATATGTTTTTTCCCCAGTTGTCCTGTGTGTTGGTACAGTAATAGTATATATGTTTTTTCCCCAGTTGTCCTGTGTGTAGGTACAATAATAGTATATCTGTTTTTTCCCCAGTTGTCCGGTTTGTAGGTACAGTAACAGTATATCTGTTTTTTCCCCAGTTGTCCGGTGTGTAGGTACAGTAACAGTATATTTGTTTTTTCCCCAGTTGTCCTGTGTGAAGGTACAGTAATAGTATACATGTTTTTTCCCCAGTTGTCCTGTGTGTAGGTACAGTAACAGTATATTTGTTTTTCCCCAGTTGTCCTGTGTGTAGGTACAGTAACAGTATATATGTTTTCCCCCCAGTTGTCGGGTGTGTAGGTACAGTAACAGTATATATGTTCTCCCCCAGTTGTCCTGTGTGTAGGTACAGTAACAGTATATATGTTTTTTCCCCAGTTGTCCGGTGTGAAGGTACAGTAACAGTATATATTGTTTTCCCCCAGTTGTCCTGTGTGTAGGTACAGTAACAGTATATATGTTTTTTCCCCAGTTGTCCGGTGTGAAGGTACAGTAACAGTATATATGTTTTTCCCCCAGTTGTCCTGTGTGTAGGTACAGTAACAGTATATATGTTTTTTCCCCAGTTGTCCGGTGTGAAGGTACAGTAACAGTATATATGTTTTGTCCCCTATGCAGTTGTCCGGTGTGAAGGTACAGTAATAGTTTATGTGTTTGTCCCCCCTGCAGATGTCCTGTGTGTAGGTACAGTAACAGTATATTTGTTTTTTTTCCCAGTTGTCCTGTGTGAAGGTACAGTAATAGTGTATTTGTTGTTTTCCCCAGTTGTCCGGTGTGAAGGTACAGTAACAGTATATCTGTTTTTCCCCCAGTTGTCCGGTGTGTAGGTACAGGAACAGTATATATGTTTTTCCCCCAGGTGTCCTGTGTGTAGGTACAGTCACGTTGTCCGGTGTGAAGGTACAGTAATAGTGTATTTGTTGTTTTCCCCAGTTGTCCTGTGTGGAGGTACAGTAACAGTATATATTGTGAAGGAACAGTAATAGTTTATGTGTTTGTCCCCCCTGCAGATGTCCTGTGTGTAGGTACAGTCACGTTGTCCGGTGTGAAGGTACAGTAACAGTATATATGGTTTTCCCCAGTTGTCCTGTGTGGAGGTACAGTAACAGTATATATCTGTGTGTAGGTACAGTAACAGTATTTTTGTTTTTCCCCAGTTGTCCGGTGTGTAGGGACAGCAACAGTATATATGTTTTTTCCCCAGTTTTCCTGTGTGAAGGTACAGTAATAATATATATGTTTTTTCCCCAGTTGACAGGTGTGTAGGTACAGTAACAGTCTATTTGTTTTTTTTCCCAGTTGTCCTGTGTGAAGGTACAGTAATAATATATATGTTTTTTCCCCAGTTTTCCTGTGTGAAGGTACAGTAATAATATATATGTTTTTTCCCCAGTTGTCTGGTGTGTAGGTACAGTAACAGTCTATTTGTTTTTTTTCCCAGTTGTCCTGTGAGAAGGTACAGTAATAGTATATATGTATTTTCCCCAGTTGTCCTGTGTTAGTACAGTAATTGTATATTTGTTTTTTCCCCAGTTGTCCTGTGTGTAGGTACAGTCACGTTGTCCGGTGTGAAGGTACAGTAATAGTGTATTTGTTGTTTTCCCCAGTTGTCCTGTGTGGAGGTACAGTAACAGTATATATCTGTGTGTAGGTACAGTAACAGTATTTTTGTTTTTCCCCAGTTGTCCTGTGTAAAGGTACAGTAACAGTATATCTGTTTTTTCCCCAGTTGTCCGGTGTGAAGGTATAGTAATAGTTTATGTGTTTGTCCCCCCTGCAGATGTCCTGTGTGTAGGTACAGTAGTACCTGTTGTTGTATAATACATTAGCCCTGTCCTGTGTGTAGGTACAGTCACGTTGTCCGGTGTGAAGGTACAGTAACAGTATATCTGTTTTTCCCCCAGTTGTCCGGTGTGTAGGGACAGCAACAGTATATATGTTTTTTCCCAGTTGTCCGGTGTGTAGGTACAGGAACAGTATATATGTTTTTCCCCCAGTAGTCAGGTGTGTAGGTACAGTAACAGTCTATTTGTTTTTTTTCCCAGTTGTCCTGTGTGAAGGTACAGTAACAGTATATATCTGTGTGTAGGTACAGTAACAGTCTATTTGTTTTTTTTCCCAGTTGTCCTGTGAGAAGGTACAGTAATAGTATATATGTATTTTCCCCAGTTGCCCTGTGTGTAGGTACAGTAACGTTGTCCGGTGTGAAGGTACAGTAACAGTATATATCTGTGTGTAGGTACAGTAACAGTCTATTTGTTTTTTTTCCCAGTTGTCCTGTGAGAAGGTACAGTAATAGTATATATGTTTTTCCCCAATTGTCCGGTGTGTAGGTACAGTAATAGTATATATGTTTTTCCCCAATTGTCCGGTGTGTAGGTACAGGAACAGTATATATGTTTTTCCCCCAGTTGTCTGGTGTGTAGGTACAGTAACAGTATATATGTTTTTTCCCCAGTTGACAGGTGTGTAGGTACAGTAACAGTATATATGTTTTTACCCAGTTGTCCGGTGTGTAGGTACAGTAACAGTATATATGTTTTTCCCCCAGTTGTCAGGTGTGTAGGTACTGTAGGAACAGTAACAGTATATATGTTTTTTCCCCAGTTGTCCGGTGTGTAGGGACAGTAACAGTATATATGTTTTTCCCCCAGTTGTCCGGTGTGTAGGAACAGTAACAGTATGTATGTTTTTCCTTCAGTTGTCCGGTGTGTAGGTACATTCAGACGTGTGTAGGTACAGTAACAGTATATATGTTTTCCCCCCAGTTGTCCGGTGTGTAGGTACAGTAACAGTATATATGTTTTCCCCCCAGTTGTCCGGTGTGTAGGTACAGTAACAGTATGTATGTTTTTCCTTCAGTTGTCCGGTGTGTAGGTACATTCAGACGTGTGTAGGTACAGTAACAGTATATATGTTTTTTCCCCAGTTGACAGGTGTGTAGGTACAGTAACAGTATATATGTTTTTACCCAGTTGTCCGGTGTGTAGGTACAGTAATAGTATATATGTTTTTCCCCCAGTTGTCAGGTGTGTAGGTACAGTAACAGTATATATGTTTTCCCCCCAGTTGTCCGGTGTGTAGGTACAGTAACAGTATATTTGTTTTTCCCCAGTTGTCCGGTGTGTAGGTACAGTAACAGTATATATGTTTTTTCCCCAGTTGTCCGGTGTGTAGGTACAGTAACAGTATGTATGTTTTTCCTTCAGTTGTCCGGTGTGTAGGTACAGTCAGACACCCGAGGAGTCGGCCAACCACAGATGCATGAAGTGTTCTTCACAAGAGGTAGGTGACATGATCAGTAATGTTCCTGATGTATGTAGGTAGCTTACCACAGGATCATAATGACACGATCAAACAAAGGATCTGGAATTTTTCATAGGAGGTAAGCAGCGTGCTTATGATAGAAATGATACCCTGTTTGTAGGTACAGGCAGCATAGGTAGCTGACAACAGATAAATAAAGGGTTTTTCACAGAAGATAAATAACATCCACGTTGATAATCAAAATGCGAGGTTGTTGAGCATGTGGCATTTAATGCAAGTTATTAAATATTAAGATTTTTATATGTGAAAATGAACAGTTTATATTATACTTCAAGTCACAACCATGTTTATGTGGAATGATGTTTGAAACATTGTGATGGCTTTGATGTTTACAAGTGAATTTGTGATTTGACAACGGATGCTGTAGTCCTACTTTTAAAGTGAAAAAGGATGCTTTTGACTTAAGGATCCTTGTACCAATGCCGAAAAACTGTAACAAGGTTTTAGAAACCAGTTTTTTTTTGCATGACTATATCTTTGATAAATCTTTTTTAAATTTTATTTTTATTCCTCATGAGAAACAATAAAGACGAAAGAAGCAAAATATAATCCACAACAATGTTTTGAGTGGAAAACAGGGCTAGGCTGGGATTCGAACCCTGGACTTCAGATTGATATACTATCACTCTAACTGATTGAGCTACCTGGTCAACAAAAGTGTCCTGGCCAAACTGTGCTACAGAAGTCAAGGGGAGGTTACTGTATTTAAGAAAACCACAGTGCACTGGGACAGGGATCCTCAAGTCATGTTCATGCTTTACCGGTATATGTTTTGGTAATGACCTTGACCTTGTTGATTTGTTACAGAGTGTGTGGATATGTATTGGTTATGACCTTGACCTTGTTGATTTGTTGCAGGATATGTGGATATGTATTGGTAATGACCTTGTTGATTTGTTACAGAGTTCGTGGATATGTATTGGTAATGATCTTGACCTTGTTGATTTGTTACAGAGTCTGTGGACATGTATTGGTAATGACCTTGACCTTTTTGATTTGTTACAGAGTCTGGATATGTATTGGTAATGACCTTGACCTTGTTGATTTGTTACATAGTCTGTGGATATGTATTGGTAATGACCTTAACCTTGTTGATTTGTTGCAGAGTCTGTGGACATGTATTGGTAATGACCTTGACCTTGTTGATTTGTTACAGTGTCTGGATATGTATTGGTAATGACCTTGACCTTGTTGATTTGTTACTGAGTCTGGGGACATGTATTGGTAATTACCTTGACCTTGTTGATTTGATACAGAGTCTGGGTATGTATTGGTAATGACCTTAACCTTGTTGATCTGTTGCAGAGTCTGTGGACATGTTTTGGTAATGACCTTGACCTTGTTGATTTGTTACAGAGTCTGTGGATATGTCTGATCTGTGGTCACATAGGATGTGGACGTTATGTTGGTCTCCATGCCTACAAGTCAGTATGCCCTTCATATACTGTAAATTGTTAGCCTGCCATCATCAATTTTTGTATAATTACAAGAGTGATGAGTCAGTTAAGAATTAAAAAAACCGTTAACATATCCATTTTAGTGGTATACTTAACAAAGATAAAAAAAATAGTCCATTCTATATTTCATCCAAAAGCAAACAATATTCTTTGACCTCTCCGTAAACTATAATAATTTAAATCCTTTATCTTTATTATCCCTTAAATATGTGTTTAAGTAAATTTTCAATGTTTTAAAGCATTGTTATCTTGTTTTCCTTGTTGTAATACATAGAAAATGTCTAAAAAAACATACTACATTACATGTAACTGTACAGTATATCTAAACAAAATATCGTTTTGATACTCTTCAAAATCCCTAATATCCAAAAAATCGCCAGGATCACGAGGTCCCTTTGCTCTTTTTCTGATGTAATAATTTATATGTACAGTGCTTACTGAAGAAATACATGTTTTCAAAAATAAAAATTTGATGTGCTAATTAATGATCTCACTAATAAGATTGTATGTAAAATCTCCAAGTCTGTATACAAAGGATCCATTGATTGTTAAATTGAAGATTACATGTTTGTTTTAATGAATGACCTTTCCCTTGACCTCAATCTTGCAGGCACTTCCAGGAGACCCAGCACACGTACTCCATGCAGCTGGGTCACAACCAAGTGTGGGACTATGCTGGTGACAACTACGTCCATCGTTTAGTCCAAAGTAAGGGCGACGGAAAACTCGTACAGGTGGGAGAAGGTGGCAGCAGTCAGGTGCAAGGAGAGAAACTTGACTCACTCAGTCTAGAGGTGGGTAGTTTGTACAGTATTATGTGTAGTAAATTACAGGTGAGAAACTTGACTCACTCAGTCTAGAGGTGGGTAGTTTATACAGTATAATGTGTAGTAATTTACAAGTGAGACACTTGACTCACTCAGTCTAGAGGTGGGTAGTTTGTACAGTATTATGTGTAGTAATTTACAGGTGAGAAACTTGCCTCACTCAGTCTAGAGGTGGGTAGTTAGTTTTGCTGTTAATGTATGTATAGCATATTTAGCCCCCACAAAAAAAATGGTGAACTGTTCAAATGGCCTTTTTTGTCCTTGATCTGGCATCTGTCAGTCTGTCTAAATATTATTTTGTTACCTCTATTTCTGAGAGACTACTTCTGGATCAAATCATACTTTGTATACATTGTCCCCTCTTGTCTTTATTTGTGCATGCTACATGCTAATGACGTAACAATCAATACCTGCTCACAAGAGCAGATAACTCTGCAATATGAAAAGACGGAATATAGGGTTCATGGTACATGAATAATGTTTTGATCGTCCTCAGTATGACATTATTGACTTTCCCCTTCAGTATACATACCTGCTGACCAGTCAGTTGGAGTCCCAACGCTTCTACTTTGAGGAGAAGATGAACTTTGTTGAGCAGGAGGCACTTGACAGGGTAAGTCTGTATAACATTTTATTAGTGGTGGATGTCTGTATTTAAATATCTGGTGTAACATATATAGGATCTTAAATGAGTTTTCATTTCATATGAGATTTGTTGAAACGAGTCTTAGGAGTTTTTATTTTTGCGAGCCTTGGCGAGCGAAAATTCAAACTTCAAGACGAGTTTCATAAAAGCTCATATGAAATGAAAACAAATTTAAGATGCTTTTTATTTCATAACTCAGAAAACTTACATTTTGACAGGTTTTAAAGCCAAAATGTAGAGGGCTTAACCAAACGGAGACAGCCATTTTGTTGTGCAAATCACAATTTATGACGTCACATCATTCTCCTTATTATGGCGTCACAATCGATTTCTGACTGGCACAGCCAATGAAAAATGCTCCAGGGTATATTTCACTAGTGACATATGTAAAAATATTACACGGGCGAATTCACTGGATAACAAGCCGATTATGTGATAAAAATTATTAATATGAAATTACATAGTGACATTTTCAGAATAAATAATACCCCGGTATATTGACTTAATGTGTATATGATTATCACTCTAATGATTTTGAAAATAATCTCGAATTAATAATTAGACCAAAAAGGTACTGGACAAGATCAGATTCTTAATATCAGAATATTTTAATGTTTTTTTTCTTGCCATACTTAAGAAGCGACTTTTTTTCAGATGTGTATATATTAATATAAATGACATGTTGCTACATATAAAACTATATTTACATTCTTGATGTTTGTTCTTTACATGAATCTACCAACTGAAAACAATTGCCATTAGACTATATTTACCATCGTATGGCATTGCCACTATATAACCTTACCAAATTCAATAGGCATTCATATATGCTATAAATGCCATGGACGGATTGATGACGTCATAATTGTTACGTTGGATACCACTGACCCTCCCTGGGCGATGACTGTTCTATTCATTGGACAAGCATACACGATACAAACGTTATTTTAACTAAATGCTGAAAAATAATAAGTGTAATTGGATTTTTTTAGAATATTTACAGATACCAAAAATGGTAAATATAAGTATTGAACTGCTTTCATTTGGCATTCATAGGCAAAATCAATTTCAACTGGACAAAGGTAAATCCAACATGGAGTGCTAGCGTGCTTCATTGAATTTGCTTTTGTCCAGTTGGCATTCATACTGCCTATGAATGCCAAATGAAAGCAGTTCAATGCTTAAATGAATACGCTATGAATACAACGATTCTCGTGCAACCGGTCAGCTGATTTCACACACAATGACAAATCATATTACTACGCATAGTACCGTTTCTGAGAAGAGTTATATCCCCTACTTGGAGATAACGTAGTTGCGAGAAATAATTATAAACATTGCAAAAATCATAAATGGTGCTACATTGTACTATTATTATTATTTTTAGCTCACCAGGTCTGGAGGACCAAGGTGAGCTTATGCCGTATCATTGCGTCTGTCGTCCGTCTGTCGTCCGTACGTCAACAATTTCTTTAAACAACTTCTTCCTTTTAACCAGGCTGAGAATCGGGCCAAAAGGGGTCAATTTGGTTATATTGCTTTAAGTGACTTCTCTGGAACTAAGAGATGGATATCAACCATATTTGACTGGAAGCATCCCTAGGTAGTGGAGATTCAAAAGTGTACAAATGGTTGGGCTGACCCCCAGGGGGCTGAGGGGCAAGCCAAAAGGGGGCAATTTGGCTATATTGCTACAAACTACTTCTTCTGTAGAACTATGCACTGGATATCAGTCATATTTGATCAAAAGCATTCATGGGAGGCAGGGATTAAAATTGTACAAATGATGGGGCTGACCCCCCAGGGGGCTGAGGGGCGGGGCGGGGCCAAAAAGGGTTATTTGGCTATATTGCTTTAAGCCACTTCTCTGGAACTAAGAGATGGATATCAACCATATTTGACTGGATGCATCCCTAGGTGTTGGAGATTCAAAAATGTACGAATGGTTGGGCTGACCCCCCAGGCTAAGGGTTGGGGCCGAAAAAGGTTTATTACTTGGAAATAGTTGAGATCCCCACCGTATATCTAGAAACGAATGCAGTCATGATATTAGGATAGACCCTGGGGTCTGACTGAACCCCTAGGGATCTAGTTTCTTAGTCACAGCTTGGAAACAGTTGGAGATCCCCACCCTATAACCATATATACAATTGTTGAGTATAAAGAGATGAATGCACATATGCTTCCAGGATGGCCTTGGGGACTGCCCCACCCTCGGAGACTTAACCCCTTGGTCATAACTTCAAAATGGTTAAGATCCCCACCCAAAAATTATAAATACAATTGTTGGGCATAAAGAGAAAAATGCAGTCATGATATTAGAATTGACCCAAGGGTCTGCCACAACCTTGCAGACTTAACCCCTGGGTCATCACTTTGAAAGCGGTTGAGATCCCCAACCTAAAACTATATATACAAATGCTGGGCAAAAAGAGAAAAAATCTTTAATTTTCGCAAACTTAATGCTATCATTTCTATTATCAGCGTCATTGGGTTAAAAGTTTTGGGTTCCGATCCGGGCTTTAGTCACCACCACTGCGTGAGTGAAGGGAGGTAATTCAATTTGTGCAGGCATGATGCGCAGTGTATATATACATCCGTCTGTTGATTCCATGTGGGTGAGTCATGATCATAATTACGTAGTAATCGTTGTATATACAACAGGAAGTGGGAGGGGACTTAACTGGGCCAGGGAAGTTTAATGTGAATGTTTTAAAGCTCACTGTTCGTTGTTCCAAAAATGTTGACCTCGGAAGAATGGGAGAGTCGGCATTGGAAAGTCAGGCAAAAGGTGTGAAACATCAACACGCTCAGGGTGTCATATTTGAAAAACAAACGTTACTTGGCATGACAGTTGAGAAAACTGAACGGGACTGAATTGGAGGAGGATATTAACGATCTTAGACAAAAACTACAGCAGTCCCAACAGGACCAAGAACCGCTGTAAAAATCAGCAGATGTGTTTGCCCTTAGGGCGGAGACAGGGTAATCTTACCCACTTGTCCCATTCTAATTCTCTTCGCAAGAATGCAAAAAACAAGTTGAACAGTGCAAAAGCTCTACCAACTTGATTGAAGAGACAGTAAATGCTCTAAAGGACTGTTGATCTAGAGAACACAAAACAAAGCATTATCTAAACATCTGAATTTATTTATTTGTTATGTTGTCTGTAGTTATAGACTGTAGATTTAAACTTTGTGTATACAAGGACCTAATATTTCATTTAAAAATTGCCTTAAAAAGGGTGAAAAAGTCCTTGAAAAGTCCTTGAATTTTGTTTGAAACAGTTTTGTATGAACCATGTTCTTCTACCGTAGGGATCAAGGGATTTTATCCTATTTAGTCTGGAGCATCCTTGGCCAAAGGGGACTGAATTTTGTATAAACGGTGGGTGTGGCCCTCCTTGGGGCAGAGGGGCAGGGCCCAAGAGGGTAAATAGAGGTAAAACCTTTAAAATCCTTATTCTTCTGTAGGAATGACAGGATTTTGTCCAAATTTGGTATGAAGCACCCTTTGGTGAAGGGGAACCAATAGTGTATTAACGGTTGGCTGGACCCCCCTGAGCTAACGTGCTCCACAGGATATGTAGATCACCTACTACTATTCATTGCCGCAATGTACATGAAAAAAATTCCATTCATTCCCTATATATGTCCTCTGAGATTTATTGTCCAGTATTGAATTAAATGCAATGAATAAGCAATTCTATATTAATTAGCCTTGTCTTGATAGGAATGAACTGAAACATGTTCCTAATTTAATTCATATTTTCATGAAACAAGTCTTAAAAATATAGAATGGAAAGTCAAATCAGTTTAAGATTCATAACATCCTTTGTCACAAAATTATCTGAACTGGTACAATTTTTAGCTCACATGCCCGAAGGGCTAGTGAACTTATGCCATGGTGCGGCGTCTGTCGTCCGTCCGACAACTTTTCCTTTGAACGACTTCTTCTGAAGAATGGACAGGCCTAGAGTCATGATATTTGAGTGATAGCTTCATTGATAAGAGCCCAACAAAGTTTGAGATTGAAAATGACCTTGATGTACTTTCAAGGTCATGGGGGTCAAAAGTGTCAAATACTTAAAACGACTTCTTCTGAAGAACTGAAAGGTATAGAATCTAATATGTGGCTGGAAGATTCATTGGTAAGATCCCAACAAAGTTTGAGAACAAGAGAGACCTTGACCTACTTTCAAGGCCACAGGGGTCAAAAGTGTCAAATACTGAAAACGACTTCTCCTGAAGAACTGAAAGGTCATCTTTATATTTGGCTGGTATCATTTTTTGAAAGAGCTCAACAAAGTTTGCAAATTAAATTGACCTTAACCTACTTTCAAGGTCAAAGGGGTCAGATATGTCCAGCATTTCAAGCGAATTTTCCTGAAGAACTGAAAGGTATAGCATCTTAATATGTGGCTGATGGCTTCCTTGGATGGAGCCAAACCAAGTTTGAGAATGAAAATGACCTTGATCTTCTTTCAAGGTCATAGGGGTCAAATATGTCAAACACTTAAAACGACTTTTCTGAAGAACTGAAAAGGAATCAAATCTTAATAATTGTCTGGTAGCTTCTAGGGATTGAGTTTACGAATGAAAATTATCTTGACCCACTTTTAAGGTCACAGGGGTCGAATATGTCAAACTTATAAAAACAATTTCTTCTGAACAATGGAAATGCATAGAATCATATTATTTGTCTGGTTGCTTCTTGGGATTGAGCCTGACAAAGTTTTCTATCTAAAATTACCTCAATGTACGTATCCAAGGTCACAGGGGTCAAATATAGCAAACACTGCAAACAGCTTCTTTTAAAGAAGTGAAAGGCATGGAGTCGTGATATTTAACAAGTAGCTTCTTTATATGGAGCCCAACAAAGTTGGCAAATGAAAATGACCTTTAATTTACCTACTTTATCCGATAGCTTTATCTTAATTCAATTTACTAAAGAGTATCCTTGGCCCA